GAGCGGGAGAATCCTCCTCCCTCCTCCTCCTCCTCCTCCTCCTCCTCCTCCTCCTCCTCCTCCTCCTCCTCCTCCTTCTCCTCCCCCCCCCCCTCCTTCCCACCCAAAAAATCGCGGCGTGGATACAAAATCAGGACGTGAGGTCGTTCGCCATATCTTCGGCCCCTTGGGGCCCTCGCCAGGCCGCGGGCCCGTCGGGAGAAGCAGCTCGGGATATGATGAAAGGCCAGTCCTGGCGCGCGGGCGCGGAGGGCTTCGTAAAAGAATCGCTCGGGGCTCATGGGACAGGGGTCCATCTAAACAGGGGTCATCCAGACCGCCAGATGTTGCAGGATCCTGCAGGGCCAGGGGTGCACTGATCCTGGCCTGCGTGCAGGATCCTGCAGGATCCCGCAGGATCTTGCAGGATTTTGACCCGGGTTTGCATTGACCTGGTTCCGTACATCCCAGATTCGCGGCGTGAGAGATTTTGCTGTTCGCCATGTCGGCCCCTGGGGTCCTCGCCGGGCCCCAGGGGCCGTCGGGAAACGACTCAGGAGAATGAAAAGCGCAGACAACATTCACACGAACGCCCGAACAACTGTCCAACACGCTTGCCTGAAAACGTGTGGAATGATGAGCGTTACCAATGCGTATTTTGCAATGATGACTTACTGTTACCGTTGAAACTCCCCAAACCGTCAGAAACCTATAAGAACCCTTGGAAACCCCAAAGAACTTGAGCGAAAAAAGACCATGTGAGGCACCTTCCACGCGGAAGGTATGGAAGGTGGAGAGTCAGGGGGGGAGAACGAGCGGGATTTCCGGGGACGCCGCACTGAACAAAAACAAGACCGCAGTGTGCACCGCAGCTGGGTTCAGGATGGGCCTGGCCAGGGAGCAGTGGACATGCATGGAGCTCGTCGCCCTGTTTGCGAACATTCGCGTGCTCCTATCTGCTTGGCCGCTCGTCCTGCAGCGCCCTCGCGGGGCCACTTCTCTGCCAGAGGGGTTGGCATTCGTTTGGCGCGTCGCTCATGTTGAGAATCGCCTTACGTCGGGCATGTCCCTCTACAAGAAGAACACCCCAGAATCTAGAAAATAGCTGCGTGACCATGTTCCGTGCTCTTTGGATTGTTTTTGATTGGTTGCGGCTACTTGTTTTTTTTTTGTCTTACAGTACCCGCCTGTAGGAGGACATGCCCGACTTGAGAATAGCCTGCTCGAGCACATCGGCTTCACAAGGGGCTGATCTGCTCGCGGGCCCTTCAGTGGATGCGGTCTCAAGGGGCCGCGGGTCAGCGAAGCAGCTGACGGCCAGCGCGGGCACGTTTGCAGGAGCTGATCCCGCGCGCTGCCCCCTTTCCAGTCCATTACAGTAGAAACCCATGCCAAGAAATTCCCTGCTTGCCTCCAGGGTGCCCTGGTTTTTGTGGGTTTCGATGATTTTGCGATGGGAAGCGTGACGCTCCCACACCAACAATCAATGCGCGCCCTGGGGTCTCAGGGTTGGGCTTCTTGTGGAAGGTTTCTTGTGGTCGAGCTCCTGCTGTATGGCGCCTGCCCGGAGTATAATCAAACCTGGGGCTCTGCTCATCCTCGTCGGCGAGCGAGGGGGGGGGGGGGCAGGGAGAAGCAGGAGGGGCCCTCTGAGAAGGCGGTGGGGCTTCTCGGAAGCCCCCGGGCCTTCTGAAGTGCTTTGCGCCTTTGGGGAAGGCGTTTAGTCACCGAGCGCGTTCCACTACCCGCAGAGTGCCTACTCGCAAACTTCCGAGCAAACACATGTCTTCCTTCACGTAGCGGTTCGAAGATCCTTCGTGGCAGATCCAGGCCATTTGCGAGCAGCTATTCTGCGAGTCGTGGAGCGCGCTTGTCCATGTTGAGCACCTCTCAGAGGGCCCGAGGACTTCCCGAGCCTTCCGAGAAGGGCCGCCTCCTCGCATGTCCCCCCGCCCTCGGGGCTGGCCGCCGAGTGGGGAGGCCCGAGTGCCCACCCCCGATTCGCCGAGCGCGTTCCCCTACTCGCGAAGTGCCTGTTCGCAAACGTCTGAGAAAGAGCACGTTTACCTCGATGTTCTGGAACGTAAACTTGGCATCGCTCGGACGTGTGCGTTTTTTCTCGGCGAGGGCCATTGAGGAGCATCCTGGATCATCGAGCAAAACAAACACGCATGAAGTCGAAACATGCACGGGGAATGGACGTCCGAGCGATGGCGAGTAAATGCCCCGCGGCGGATCCGGGCGATTTGCGAGTAGCAGCTCCTTTGCGAGTAGCGGAACGCGCTTGCCCAGTGATGGCAGCCTGGCCACGGGAAAACGGCAGGGCTTTCTGGGGCAGGGCCAGCACAAGATCGGCGACCGCGGCCCTTGTCCGGGCGGGGCAAACATGCATGCGGAAAGCCGGAGGGGCCGGAGGTCGATCGGCCACTCCGCGCGCTGGGCTTCGAGTCTCCAGGCCATCAGAGCGTGAATTACCTACCCCGCTTTCGCTTCCAGGAAAAACCAAGTCATACCACGCGCCTCCTCGTCAAGCGGCCTGACCAGTACAGGCCGTAGTTTGGCATCGCTTGGTATCTCTTGGAAGCGAGGGTGGTCAAAAGCGAGGTAGGTTTGTTTTCCCCCTAGGCCATCTCGGCCTCCTAGATGGGGTCGGAGTAGATGGGGTCGGAGGATCACGTCGCATCGCCTATGCACGCACCGCCGATGCGGCTCGATGTGGAGCCTGTTTTTCCCCACGCCGACGTCGCCGAAGCTCCGCCGACGTCGCCGATGCATCGCCGATGTATCGGCGATGCATCGCCGATGCGGCGTGATCCTCCGACCCCATCTACTCGGACCCCATCTGGGAGGCCTCTATGGGTTTCGAGTCTCCAGGCCAGCAATCTGGTTGACCCGAAAGGGTGGTGCAACAGATCATGTGCAATAGGTTTGTGAGGTCTGTGGGGGTGCAATAGGTTTGGGGCGTGCAGTACGTTCCAGGGCGCAAGTGTATTGCTGGACGTTGCGTGCAGGACACTCGTTGCAGAACCATGCAATCCGATTCTCTGGCGCAAGACATTTGCAATCAATTGCCCCAAATGTGTTACACCACCCCCTGTCCGCTGGGCCTCCTGCTGGGCCAGCCAAAAGTAGGTCAGCGGACGGGCCTCGGACCAGAGCAGGGCTCAATCTCGACTCCTCCGAGTCGGTGCGATTCGAGTTCGGTGGCTTCGGTTCCGATTCGATTCCGCTTCGGATTGCAATCTGGATCCCGACTGCTCAATGGAGGCATACTGGCCTGCCGACTTCTGCCGACTCGACTTTTCCCGACCTGGCTGCCGATTCCCACCTATCCGATTCATGTCGTTCGTCGGTCCGACTTATCGATTCGATTCTGGGCTTTCTTGTAAACGCCAAAGCTGGGGGAAAATATCCGAAGCGTACAGCATTCCTGCGCCGCGCCATTCGGGCGAGATTAACGGTCGGGAGCCTTTGCTTGGCTGTCCATAAGGGCGCTGCTGAGATGCCGATCAGGGGCATGGTCAGGAGGCATCGGCCCGAGGTTTTCGAGCGTTCTCGGTGGTTCTCGGCGGCTGTCCAGCCTCGGGCTGCTCTCCAGCAGCTGCGCCTCGCCGATAGCGTTTCGGGGCTGCCTTTTGATCGTTCCGAGCTCCGCCGGGGCCTCCGAGCTATGGCGCGAAAGCCTTCGGGGACGTTTGCTCAGCGTGTCGCGCCACCAGTACTGGCCCACCACGCCTCGGCGCTGGCCGCGCCCCAGTCCCCGTGTGGCAACGCTCCGAGCCTCGCCCGGTCTCCCGTCCCGCGAAGCGGAGCGGCACGCCATCCGCTTGCAAGGGCCAGCGTGCTGCCGGGGACGCTGCTGCGACACGCGGAGCTAGCAGTGCATCTCCGTCGGATCAAGGGCTAGAAAACCTTTATCCAACCGATTTCCGGGAGAATGCCTGGCAGATTGAGGCCACATCCTGGCAGTTCAATGTGAATCCAGAAGGGCCTCGGTGCATCCATGGAGATCCAGATAAGTCTGGAGACATCGTGGAATCTGGTCGCGTTTTTCCATGGCATGGGCACCTGGAGGTCTGGACCCCTTCCCCGGGACAGGTTCGTCATCTCGGACAGTTTGTTGACTGTATTGGGGGCCCTGTGAGGGCCCCCTCGTGGCCAAAGATAGCCGCAGACCTCCCGTCGTCATTGTTCGCTTCGAGAGGAGGTGGAGGAAGTCGTGGGAGCTGGAGGGGCGCCCAAGGGGCAGCAGAAGTCGCTTAGCTCAGGGGCTCAGGGTGGGATGCGTCGAGACCAATCACCCACTGATCGCCGACAGGGGCCCGATAGTCCGCCCCGCCCAGAAGTGTGTGCGGAGGTGCCGTCGAGGGTCTATCGCCAGTTGATCGGCGATGTTATCGCGGATTCTTGCACGATGTTTCCCCCCTTGTGAGCCTATCCTTGGGCTCCAACTGATTATTCAAACATTCACCACCACTCAAAACACGTTTAGATATCGTACCCAAGACCACCATATCCCAAAGGACCGCTCCAAACCCGTTTAGGCATTGGTATATCGGGTGCCAAAGCACACTTGCATGCCCAACGCTCCCACATGCCCGCCTTGCGTACGCAGGTCTAGTTTGGCCTCCCTGAGTCTTAAGCGATTCAGAAGAAACCCAAGCCTGTCCCCCCCGAGAGCTGCCCCTTGTCAGCCCTGGACGACGACGAGCCCGGACCCCCGACATCATGATTTGTTCATCACGTCGACCCCGAGAGGTCTCTACTTCCTCCTCCTCCTCCTCCTCCTCCTCCTCCTCCTCTTCCTCCTCCTCCTCCTCCTCCTCCTCCTCCTCCTCCTCCTCCTCCTCCTCTACCCGTTCCCCGCGGCCGGTTGTTCATCCCGAGCCATGTTCTTAAAGGGCCCCGAGGTCTGGCGAGGGCCCCAAGAGGCCGAGAGACTGGCAAAACACCTCCCTGTCGTGACTTGTCCATGGCTCGATGGGGGTCTCGGAGGGCCGCGCGCAGCCATTTTGGCCCAGGGGCCGTCCGATGGGCCGGGCTGCCGGCTATGGGCCTTCGGCCGGCCGCCACCGGCTCGCGGGAGCGCCGGGCATGCCTCGGAAGCACGCGGCGGCGGACGGGAAGGAGAAGAAGGCCGCCGTGCGTGTCGTCGCCCTCTTCCTCCCCTGAGATCCTGGCGCGGCAATTGTTTCACGACGGGCGTTTCCGCTCCACGCCGGGCCCCGGGACCCTCACAGCTCGATCGGGCTCGAAAGGTGTCGCAGAGAGATGGGGCCCAGAGCTCGGGCCGTGATGTTTTGCGGTGTGCAGCGTCGGATCTCAGGGTCTTGCCAGCCTGGAACCTATCCCTATCCCTATGCTGGGCATCGCCTCATCACGATGGCGATCTTAGGGATTCCCTCAGTTTCGGAGGGTGCATCCCTAAGATTGCCATCGCCTTTGGGCGTGCCAATCTTAGAGATAGGGATAAGTTCGAGGCTGTTTAGGGTCCCCCCGACAGGATCTCGCGTCGCACGAGATTGGGGGCAGCGGCTCTTCGTCGCTCTCGGCCTCTGGGGGCCCACGCCGGGCCAAGGGACTGTCAACACAAACAAGAGGGGGAGGAGGAGCAGGAGGAGGAGCAGGAGCAGGAGGAGGAGCAGGAGCAGGAGGAGGAGCAGGAGGAGGAGGAGGAGGAGGAGGAGGAGGAGGAGGAGGAGGAGGAGGAGGGGGAGGAGGAAAAGGCGGAGCAGGAGAAGGAAACATATTCATGAGGAGGAGAAGGAGCAGGAGGGTTGGGACGAGAAGCCGGTCCCAGGGAGAGGACCGGGACTTCCAGGGACCGCATGTCTTTGAGATTTGGAGTCCACTGCTCCTCTGTTGTGAGGCAGCTGTATAGGGGGGGGGACAGAGGGCAGAGTGTTGACACAGTTGGGAGGACCGCCCAAAAAAACGACTCGGGCTGACAAGCCAGTCCCGGAGAAGGAGTCAAGACTTCTGGGGGTCGGCGTTTTGAGCAAATCGTGACGTCGGGGATCTGGGCTCGGGATCCCGAGACGGGATCCCCAGTCGAGATCCTGAGAAGATCTGCCGCACGGCAACGGATCGGGATTCCCGACCCCCTTCCCTTGGGGAAACGTAAGACTCGAGTACACGGGAACTCGGGTTAGCCGACGTTTCTTGACGAGCGCGTCCTGGATTTTGACGGTCAAGTTTTCGTGGGATGTTTGTAGCTGGGGCTCGCGTCAAATTTAAGATTGGGTCTCGTCATGTTTGTGCCCCACGGAAATGACCTGACCTCGTCATCCGTTTTCCGCTCTGCAGTCTTTTTGGTTCAAGTCAGAACCATATGGAAGCTTTCCTCTTCGGTTTCTCCGCACTCCGAGAGTTTGCCTTCCTGCGTACACTCTTGTGGCCCGCGCCAGTCGAGTGCACCTGCGAGGTGCCTGAGGCTCTGCTTGCCGCCGAGCCTGTCAGCGGAGAGTGCCGTCTCCTGGCGGAGCTGGTTGGTCGCTCGAGCCAGTGCGTCTGCCAGTGCGACTGTCACTGCCACTCGGAGGCCGCCTCGGGGATCGGACTCACGGCCTTGCTCGGGCTGCTGGCGTTCTTTTCGGTCATCGCCTTCACGCTTGGCCTGCTGGTCGGCTGCAGCTTCGGACGCCGCAGCTCGAGCACGTCGCCGGTTGTGAACGACACGCTCGTGTCCATCATCGAGGAAGATGGCGACGCTAGCATGGCTCCAGGGGTCAGCCAAGCCCGGCGATCGGGTCCTCGTCTGCTACTATCAGGACGCGGGCGGGGCGGCGGTGGAATGGCATGAGCGGGTCTTGCTAGGACACATCAGCGACGCCAAGTGGGTCGTCGTCTCTCGGGACTGGGACATCTTCGAGGAGGACTTCGCCGAGGCCGACGACCTGAAGCGGTTCCTGGCCAACGGGCAGGCGCCCGCGACGGTGCGCGTGCTCCCTCACTACCTGGTCGACCACTACCGCTTTGGCCAGGACAGGCAGTACTACATGGACACGGGAGAGGCTCTCGCGCGGGGCTTGCGTCCCGGCGGGGCTGTGGTCCCTGCGGCTGTGCCGATCGCGGCGGGCGCGGGTGCCGGGCCCGCCGCGAAGTGGTGCGCGCTGGAGGCTCGGGGCAGTGTGGGGCTTGGTGATGCCCTCACCGCCTCGTTGGGGTCAGTCGAGTTCGAGTCTAACGATCGGTGTATCTTCAAGCTGACGGACGGCGCAGTTCTGAGCGGAGGGCTCGAGGGCACGCTGCCATCGGGCCCCGCTGCAGGGAGCGAAGACGACTCCCGCATCCTGCCTGCCAGGCAGGACGCACAGCAGCGCTATCGCCGCTCCTTCGCGAGCGCGCTGCAGGACATGAAGCCCGCTGACTTCGGCAAGAGCTGGGAGATCGAGGGTCCGCGCTCGACGTACTACACGGCGGAGCGGATCTACGAAGGCAACCACAGCCCGGTGCAACGGCACTACTGGTGGCGCTCGGTGATGGGGCTGTCGGCGACGGACGTCGGCGTGGACGAGCACTTGCTGTTGTCCCAGCTCCTAGAGGTCGGCATGACGATCGATCAGATGCAGGTCTGCAACTTGGCGACGTTCGAGCTCCTGAGCCGGCGTTATCAGATGTGGAAGAGCGCCTACAAGGATCTGCTGCGAGAGGTGGACACGGGCGGCTCGGGCGGCGACGACTGGCTGAGCGAGCGCTCGCTGTTCCTCGGCGTGAAGAATCTGAGGGGCAGCGCCATCGTCATGCCTGAGCTGGAGGACTTCGTGGCGAAGGAGCTGGCGGCCCGCGCCGCCGTGCTGAAGGAGCGCCGCAAGGCGCGTGAGGAGGCCGCGCTGGCCAAAGGAGAAGGTGCGGGACCGACGTCGGCTGATCCAAAGAGGAAGCCCAAAGGTCCCACGGAGAAGGCCTGAGGGCCTGCTTCCATCTGAATTGTGCCGCCACGGGGGGGTCTGCCCCGCCTCCTCGAGGGCTTTCGGGAGGGGTTCAGGGCTGGCAGGTGGTGCCACCCTGAGGCGCTTTCAGCTTCGCAGCAGATGAGGCAGCGCGACGTTCTGCCGATCTCCCTGGCGGCCGCCTCGGAGATCTGTGCTGGGGGTGCCAGCGGGCTGGGATTGTCCCAGAGCCAGCGGCGGCGGCTTCGACGTCGACGTGCTCAGGAGGGCTGGCTTTTCGAGGGCATCCGCGCCTTGAACGAGCTGGGCGCCCCGGAGCCGCTGGCGGCCTCGCCCTCGTCCTTGACTTCGGCTCAGGTCTCGGCCGTTCGACGCCTTGCTCGGCAGTGCGGATCAGTCGTCGCTCCCCCGCCTGACTGCGGGAGCGCCCTGGGAGCGTGGGAGGCGCTCCAGGGCACGCGGCCCGGCTACGCGGATGACGCGATGGCCGTCGGTGCTCGGGCGAACTTCGAGCGAGGGAACGTGTCGCTTCCCGCGGGGCTTTCTGGGCGAGTTGCGCTGAGTGAGTGCCTGCCGCCCGCCCTGCAGTCTGCGCTTGAAGATCGGTCAATCCTACTTTCTGAGGAGGAGGCTGCCGCTCGCCGTGACAGCTTTGATGGCAGCCTCTTCCTTGATCCCGCCCTTCGGGATAACCCCGAACTTGTTGGAGAGTTCGTTTCTGAGCTCTGGGCCGCTGGCGTTGTGGAAGTCAGCGATGACGTACTCGAAGAAAGTGGCTTGTTTTTCGTTCGAAAAAAGTCAGGTGCTCTTCGCCTGATCTGGGACACTCGTGTGCCTAACCTTCGGTTCCGCGAGCCTCCTGGTGTGGTATTGCCCTCTGGTGAGGCTCTCGCTCATCTTGAATGCGAGCCTCATGTGATCCCCGTGCTGCACGGGGGCGATGTCGAAGTCTGCTATTACCAGTTCACACTTCCTGAACAGTACAGGTGTTTTTTCGGCTTGCCCTCCCTTCCTATTGCGCACCTGTCCCCGGACCTCGTCGCCGCGCTCCCGGATGCGGCTCGAAATCGGGGCTGGGCCCGCGTGCGGGCTCGTGTGGTGCCGATGGGTTGGAATTGGGCCGTGGCTCTTGTACAGGCCGCCAATCAGTATCAGCTCAATAAAGTTTCCCCCGAGGCCCCGTGGCTCCTAGATAAGGTACCGCTCCCGCCTCTTGGCGACGTTGGGTCGCTCCGCGCACTCTATATCGACAACTTCGTTTCCATTGCCCAGTCTAAGTACCGATCGGTTGCCACCTCTGACGTCGAGAGTATGCAGTCTCAGCTCGCGGGCCTTGGGATCGCGTCGACCTTGGAGACCTCAGAGGCGGGGGACAATGACTTCATAGGTTTCACTTTGGTGGGCTCGTCTGGGGAGTGGCGTCCTAAAGCTAATCGGTTCTGGAGGTTGAAACTGGCGGCCGACTATCTTCTAGAGGTTCGACCTGCTATCACAGGGCAGGAGCTGGAGCGTTTCGTGGGCCACGTCACGGCTCTGTTTTCGCTTTCCCCGGAGCTCTTGTGCCTCATGGAAAAGGTCTATGTGTTCATCCACGAGAGTTACACTCGCCGTCAGCCCCTCTGGCCATCTGTTCATCGCGAAGTTCGGTGGATACGTGCTCTTCTGCCCTTGGCTCGTGCCTCGATGCGTCGCCCGTGGTCGAGTCAAGTCTTCGGCTACGACGCGTCGTACTGGGGATTTGGAGTTGGATCGACGCGCTGGGAGACTAGTGAGGTCGCCGCGGTGGGCCGTGTTCGTGAGCGAGCACGCTTTCGGGGTCTTCTCAGTAGCTCAGAGGCGCCGCGGTCCCGGGCTCTGGACCACCAGGAGGAGCTGGTTATCTCGGAGGCTTCGGAGGCCAACGTCCTGGGGCTCGGGCGGGCCCGCTCGTTCGCTGAGGTCCCGGCGGCCCTGGTCGAGCGGAGCTGGACTGTGGCCTACGCGGGCCGCTGGAGGGGTGTCCCGGGGTCCCAGGCCCATCTCGAGGCCCGGGCCAGGACCTGGACGGTGCGACATGTTACTCGAGATTGTAGCCTTCATAACACCCGTGTGCTGCTTCTGGGCGATAACATGTCGGTGATTTGTGCTCACGCGAAGGGCAGGTCGTCGACTCCGGCCATGAACTTTCAGTGCCGGCTCTCGTCTGCCCTTGCTCTCGCCGTCGGGCTCAAGCTTCACGACCGATCGGTCCCCTCGGAGCTCAACGCCCTGGACGCTGCGAGCCGAGTTCACCAGCCTCGGCATGGGGGCCAAGCGAAAGTGGCAGTCCATGTCCAGCACCGCCTGCCTGCCTCCAGCGCAGTTGGTGCTCGCGGTCCTGTCCGACTCCGACGACGTGGAAGATGCGGGCCCGGGCTGCTCCAGCAGCCTTTCTGTCGGCGCGCTGACGGGCCGCGGCCGCGCGAGCAGCGGTCGCGCTGGGCCGAGCGCCCCTGGGGCTTGCCTGCCCATCCGTCCTGGTGGCGCACGGCGGGTTGCCCGCTCAACCCCCTCTGGCCCTGGGGGCCGCCAGGGCTCGGGCCGCCTGGAGCGCCTCCGGGCGGCGACGCGGGCGCGGCTGCTGCTGCTGGCCCCGCTGCTGACCGGCCTCCAGCAGGAGCGGATCCGCCCGGCGACGCAGGCGGGCTACTGCGACGTGCTGGAGCAGCTGGCTGGCTACCTGAATCAGTGGCCGCTGCCCGCTTGGTCGGGCCCGCAGTGGGACCTCCAGCTCCTCAACTTCGTGGAGTGGGCGCGGGGCGAGGGGTGGTCGCGGGCGCTGGCCTCTCGGCTGCTGGCCGCCGCGGTGTGGGCCCAGCCTACGTTGGGCGGCCCGCTGCGCCAGGTCTTCCCCGACGCGCATGCGGCCATGCTGGGCTGGCGCCAGCTGGACCCGGGGCACAGCCGCCCGCCACTGCCCTGGGGTGTCGTGCTGGCCTTGGCGTGGGCAATGCTGCCCAAGTGCCCGGTGGGCGCCCTGGCCATCATCGTCATGTTCGAGACCTACGTGCGCCCCTCGGAGCTCCTCAGCCTGACGGTGGGGCAGCTGGTGCCGCCCACGACGTCGCGCGGCCAAGGCGCGTTCTGGGGCTTCTGCGTTCACGTGGAGGAGCTGGGACGGCCGTCCAAGAGCCAGGAGTTCGACCTGAGCGCGCTCCTCGACTTGGACCGCCACCGTCCGCTCATCCCGCTGCTGCAGGCGCTGAAGGCGGGGCGCGCCCGCGGGGAGCGCCTCTTCGGCGTCAGCTCGAGGCAGTTGTACCGGTCCTTCGCGCTGGCCGTGCAGCAGGTGCAGGTCTCTTGCGTCGAGCCGAGCCTCTACGCGCTGCGGCGCGGGGGCGCCAGCCACGATCGCCTCGTTCGAGCGCGGTCGCTCCTCGAGGTGCAGCAGAGGGGGCACTGGCGCAGCTTTCGGAGCGTCGCTCACTACAACAAGCACGCGCGGGTGTCCTTGCAGCTCGGCAAGCTCCCCGCGACGGCGAGGGGTCAGATCGCGGCGCCGGTGGACCGCGGCCTCACGCCCTTCGCCGAGCGCTGCGCCAAGCTCTTGCACAGCCGCAGCCCCTCGGTCCGAGGATCTTTCTAGACCTGTTCTCGGGGGCAGGAGGGCTGGCGGCTGCTTTGGCGGACCGGAATATTGCCGTCGTTTGCGTCGATATCTGCCGCGGGCCGTCCCACGACCTGCTGAATGATAGTGCGTTCAACACCCTTTTCGGATGGATTCGATCGGGGCTGGTCGTGGGAATGTGGTCAGGTACCCCATGTCAATCGTTCACGATGGCCCGACGGGCGCCACAGTGGTCACGACTCCCTCATAGGCTGCGCAGTCCTGAATACCCTGCAGGTCTTCCCAATCTGGATGTGCGTGATCAGCGGACAGTTGCCGAAGTTAACGTGCTGGCTCATCGGTCCGGCGCGCTGCTAGAAGCGTGTATCCAGCGAGGCCTGCCGTGTGGGGAGGAGAACCCCTCCCAGAGCTACTTGTGGCTTGGCCACCGTCGGCCGGCCATGATGAGACGTCCCGAGTGCACGACATATATTGTTGATTATTGCGCGTTCGGCACGCCTTGGAGAGCTCGTACTCGTCTCAACCTGTTCAACGTTAAGTGTTCGGCTCTGGAAGGTGCAAAATGTAAGGGCCGTGGCATTTGCAGCTTTTCGGGAAACCACACTATCAGTTGGACGGGCCCACGGGACGAGGGGGATTCTTGACACAACAGAAGCAGGTTTACCCCGAGAAGCTGTGCCTCGTGCTAGCCAAGGCTATCGCCTCGTCCCTCAGCCTCTTGCGTGTGCACGAACTGTGGCCAGCCTTCTCTTCTCTTCCTCCCTCTTTGTCCTTCCCCTTCTAATCTTGGGGCCTCGGGGGGGTTTTCCTGCTGCAATACCTAACTTGTAATATCTCGTCGAATAAATTCGCCACTCCAGTGCTGTATGCGGGGGTCCTGTATATGGGCAGAATTGGTTTGAAGATGCTCACCTGTTCACCGCAAGCAGTGGTCTGGAAAGAGAGTAGTCAGGGTCATGTTTGTGCCCCACGGAAATGACCTGACCTCGTCATCCGTTTTCCGCTCTGCAGTCTTTTTGGTTCACCCAGAACCCGCCCACCCCCAAAAAGCTGGGGCAGAATTGGTTTGAAGATGCTCACCTGTTCACCGCAAGCAGTGGTCTGGAAAGAGAGTAGTCAGGGTCATTTTCATGATGGCCCCGTCAGGCCAACCCGAGTCCCCCGAACCCGAGTCTTGCGTCTCCCCGATTCCCGCGCGGTATTGTTTGTCTCCGCAGGCATGGAGGGGTCGTCAGCCCTGGCGACGCGAGACCTCTCCCCCAGGGCGCAAACCTGCCTTCGGATCCGCCGCACTTGGGGCGCCTTCGCAAGCAGCAGGGCGGACATTTCGTTCTGCCCTACTGATCAAGGTCCCCAGACCCCTGCGAATCGTGAACAAATCACGACGGGAGGTTTTTCGTTATTTTCGGCCTCTGGGGGCCCTTATTGGACCTCGGGACCGTGGGAATGGGTCCAGACCTGTGGGGGTCGCGTCATGGAAAAATCATGACGTCGTGGGTCTGGGTCCTTTGATGCCGCTGTCGGCCCTCTCTTGCCATCGCCGCTTCCGCCATATACCTTTGTGGAAGTATCGGCCCATCTTCCTCTGAGGCAGGAATTTCCATCCTACTGTTTCGCATCGCTTGGTGTGCATATCCGAAAGAACTTCGCACAGAAGAATCTACAAACGTACGACGGATCCGAGAGTAGGGACGACTGGCCAAAACGTCGAGGATATATCCAGCCCTGGCGACGAGAGGTTGCCCCCAGCAAGACAACGCCCGTGGGCCCGGAACTCCGACGTCAGGACCTGCACAGCGTGGACCCCTGGAAGTTTGGACCTCATCCCCTGTAATTGCCGGCCTTCGTCCCGCGGGCGCAAAAGGAGGAGGAGGAGGAGGAGGAGGAGGAGGAGGAGGAGCAGGAGGAGGAGGAGGAGGAGGCGGAGGAGCAGGATGAGGAGGAGGAGGAGGAGGAGGAGGAGGACGAGGACGAGGAGGACGAGGAGGGGAAAATAGTGACGGGGCCGACACCGCCCGTCGCTGTTTTCCATGAAGGGGAGGAGTGCCGTTTTCGCGGGCCAGAGCTGGAGTCTGCGCCGGCCGTTCGGGACGAGCTGGGCACCCCCAGAACGTTCTCGGCGCAGCTTTTGGGGAGCATCCGGAGGCTTGATCCGGGAACCTACGAAGACGTCCGAGAACGTCAAACCTCAAACCTCGAAGTCCGAATGTCGAGGAGGACGACGGCGGCTCGGGGCCGTCCGTCGCGATCTCTGCACGACGGGAGGAGGCGGGCATTCGAATTTCCGGAAGGGGGGCTGGGTCGTTGGTGATTGAGCCACTGTGCAGGAACAGTTTGAATTCTCAAATTTGATGAATGGTTCCGAACCACTATCTAGCTGTCCCAACCGGTGGCTAATTAGCGGGACGGGGACACTGCGTGGCCAACCACGTCGATTGGGCCCGTTGGGGTAGCTCCTCACTGCGCAAGCAGACAGCAGTAACACCCTCACACTAACACCTGACTTCGGAGCCGCCGTACATTGGCTGACATGCCCACATCAGTACTCAAGTTCATTGGGTATCGATTTCCGCTCGTCTTTGCCGTCGCTGTTTCCGCCACATCTCCGCGGAAATATGCACCCTATGGCTGGTGGGAGGAATTTTCTGCCCTGCTGTTTCGCATCGTTCGGGGTGCGTCTCTGACACAATTCAGAGTTGGAAAATCAGCCACAGTATGCCGGATTTGAAGTCAGGGAACGGACAAGGTCTTGCACCCTGAGATCCGACGCCGCGGATAAAATGCAACACCACACAAAATCGCGACCAGGGCCGCAGACCCAGTGTTCCAACAGCATTTTTCGAGTCGGATCGAGTCGTGATGTCCCCAGGGCTTGAAATTCAACGCAAACGCCCGCTCCAGAAACAGTCGCAACGACCAGATCTCAGGCCCTTCGCAAGCAAGCAACAGCAACCACCATCACACAAACCACCAAATCGTGCACCTCGAACCCAGACCCTCGACGTCGTGAGCTCTTCATGACGAGGGCCCTTGGAGGTCTGGACCTATTCCTTCGGTCGCAAATTATGGGAGCCTGGTATACCTCTTAATTCCGTCTTTAGCGTCGACCAGCGTCGATTAGCGTCTGGGAGTCGACGAGATAGCGCCGATTTAGCGTCGGCTAGCGCCGATGTATCGTCGATCAGCGTCGACTTGGCGTCGATCCGCGTCGATGAAGCGTCGACTGGCGTCGATCTGCAAGAGCCGACAAGATGGTACGGGAGGCTCCCAGGCGTTGCCACCGAACATTCCCCCTCGGCATCGCTCGGACGTGTGCATGTTCCCTTCGGCGAGGACCATCGAGGAGCATCCTTGATCATCTGGCGAAAAGACCACGCACGACGCCGACAAAGAGCACGGGGAAGGGGCGTCCGAGCGACGGCCAGTCCCCAGGACGGGCTTCTTCCTCATCCCCTCTCTCGGGCCACAGCTCCGCCCTCTGGCGGCCGCTTTTGGGGACGACCCGGGCACCCCGGGGACAATGCCCTCGGCGCGGAGGAGGAGGAGGAGGAGGAGGAGGAGGAGGCGGAGGAGGAGGAGGAGGAGGAGGAGGAGGAGGAGGAGGAGGAGGGAGGAGGGAGGAGGGAGGAGGGAGGAGGGAGGAGGGAGCTGCTCGAGGGCCTCTCCCGGGGCTCGAGGAGGACGCCCGCGACTCAAAACCTGCTGTGGCGTCGTGGGCGGCAAGAGTTCGCATCCGCGGCCTCTCTGGGCGGTCTCCCTGGCCGCGCCCCCGCGGACGAGGAGCGTTTTCGTTCGCGGACGACCCGCGCGGGACGTCTCCGTGCGACCGCGTAGCCGCGGGATCGTGCCCCGAAGCCCAGGCCGCGAGGGCGCGGATGCGGACGTGCTCGCCTATCGTGATCGCGATTTCCTCACGACGCGAGGGGGCTTCTTTCGGTGGCAACTCATGGGAGTCTCCCATGCCATCTTGTTGGCCGATGCTGATCGACGGTGGTCGACACTAAATCGACGCTAATAGACGCTAGTCGACGCCAATCGATGCTAAATCGGCGCTATATCACCGAACGCTGCTCGACGCCATTCGACATTTGAGACAAGACTACCTCAGACGGCATACGAGGCTCCTATGATCTGCTACCGAAGGTACGTCGATCGTGATCGTGATCTTCTCACGCCGCGACGGGGGTTTCTGTAAAGGTTTTTTGTTTGAAGCCAGATCTGGCTTCAAACGTGCTTTCTTCCAAGTCAGGTCTGACTTCCCAAAAAACACGCTTAAAAAGCATATATAGAGATTCACGGTAGGTTCACGCGGTGATGGCGCGCCGGCGATGCCGGCGAAGGCGTTCAAGGTTGAATTCCGCCCTATGGAGCGACACGGAAGCACCGAGGGTCACGGTGACGCCTCAGGACCCGACGGAATTCAACCTGGAACAATCGGGGCCGCGATTGATTTTTAAGGTAGAACGACCGACGCGCGCGCCGACGCGTGCCGACACGCGTGCCGACGCGTGTGCCGACGCGAAGGTCAAAAGCCTCTACGCGTGCCAACGCCGCACGAGCCCACCTCAGACAGATGTCTTCACAACGTCGACCTCAGAGCGTTCGACCCGTTCCCCAGGACCGGGTTTTCTCGTCCCGAGGCGTCCCGTGACGCCCCCGAGGCCGGGTGCCAGGGCCCCGAATGGCCGAGAACGGCGGGAAAACCTTCCCGTCGCGATTTCTGTCGCGACTCGGGGGGGGGCTGGGTTTCACGGCACGCAACATAGGGGGGCGGAGGTCGGGGGAGGAACGTCGTCGTCCTCGTCGCCGTCGCCGTCGCCGTCGCCGTCGCCGTCGCCGTCGCCGTCGTCGTCGTCGCCGCCTCGCGCGTCGAGCGGCGGCCGCCGAGGCCCCCGGCGGCCACTGCGGCGGCAAGCCCGGCGCCCGCGCGGCGGCCGCCGGCGCGGGCGCGGGCGCCGCGGCGGTGGGCGCGGGGGCCGCGGGCGCGGGGGGCGTGGCGCCAGTGGGCGGGCTGCTGGCGGAGGCGGAGGCCCCCGGACGCCCAGCTGGCCGAGCTGCGTGGCCGAGGGGGTCGAGGATCGAGGGCTCCTCGGTGGCTTCCTCCACGACTCCGCGATCCTCGAGCGAGGAGGGTGTCGAGGAGGGGTCGAGGAGTGGCGAGGGATCCAGGATCGGTGAGGATCGGGGCTGGCGGAGGCGGAGGCCCTCGGACGCCAGTGGGCCTCGGCCTTGTGGCCGTGTGGCCTCGCCCGCGCGGCGCCAGTGGGCGGGCTGCTGGCGGTGGCGGAGGCCCCCGCCCCAGTGCTCGGCGGCGAGCGAGGGGTGGAAGTGAGAAGGCCCTGAGACCCTGGCGCTGCAATTTTTTCACAGCGGGCGTTCATGCCCAATATCGGGCCCTGGGACCCTCACAGATCGATCGGGCTCGAAAAATGACGCAGAAAGATGGGGTCCGGGGCTCCGGTCGTGTTTTTTTTGCGATGCTGCATCTTTTTGGCAACGTCAGACCTCAGGGGGAGAGGGTCTTCTCAGAAGGTGGCGTGGCTTCTCAGAAGGCCCCCGGCTTTCTGAGAAGTTGTTGTTTGTCTTCGGAGACTTGGCATCGCTCGGACGTGTGCGTTTTTCCTGTGGCGAGGACCATCGAGGAGCATCCTTGATCATTTGGCGAACAAGCCACGCACGAAACCGAAAAAAGCACAGGGAGTGGACGTCCGAGCGATGGCGAGGGGAAGGCTCGGAAGCCTTCTCAGGAGGCCTGGGAACCTCCGAGCCTTGTGAGAAGGCCTCGTCCTTCTCATTTGCCCCCCAGACGCGCCGCCGAAGTGCGCCTCGGCATTGTGGCCTCGTGGCCTCGAAGTTGCCCCCGCCGTTCCTGCTGGCAGGATCCGGTGCCAGAGGGCCCCGTCAGACCCCCAGACGGCTCCAGCGCTGTTCCGTATCGTCCTCCTCCTCCTCCTCCTCCTCCTCCTCCTCCTCCTTCGCCTTCTCCTCCCCCTCCGCCTCGCCTGGATCTTGCTTCCGCAACGGCGTCCACTCCACTCCACTCCGCCTCGCCTGGACCCGCAACAGTTACCGGTGGGTCCCGTCGCTCATGCGCCCATCAGAGCACTTACAGTGCGCGCAGCGGTCTCCGCTCAACGCCGACGTCGGGATCTCGAGGCGGATCCGGCCGCGGCGACGAGCGCCCCGGAGGAGACCCAGAAGAGGCCCAACACGTGAGCAGCTCCCCTTCCCTCCCCTTGTGGCAAGAGTCTCGACGTTTTTGAGAAAATCCTGACGTCGGGGGTCTGGGATCGAGGGCTCCTCGATTTCCTTTCCGCCAGGACTCCTCGATCCTTGCTCGAGGAGGGTATTGAGGAGGGGTCGAGGATCGGGTAAGGATCCAGGATCGGTGCGGAGTGGGTCTGGCGGAGGCGGAGGCCCCCGGACGCCCAGCTTCGTGGCGGAGGGGAGCAAGGATCCCAGGCCCCCTCGAGTCGTGACAGAGATCGCGACGGGCGTTCTTTCTTCTATTTTCGGCCTCGTCGTCCTCCCCCCCCCCTTCGCCGCCGCCGTCGTCGCTGTCGGTGTCTGCACGGCGTCTTCTTGTTTCGCAGCCGCGCTTCCGGCAGCGGAATTTGTTGTTTCACTTATTTGCCAACGCACCTCTGACGTGCACGGCGCTTCTCTCTCTCTCTCTCTCGGGGCCTCTACCGGGCCTCGGGAGCGTCAAAAAACGAGTCAGGATGAGCAGCTGGTCCTGGGGAATGGGTCGAGACCGCTGGGTGTCGGCGCTGTGAGAAAAGCACAGCGGGGGTCTGAAGAAGGAACCCTTTCCGTTGGGGAGGGGCTCCGCGTTCCTTAAGTGTTTCACAGCTTGCCGCAGGCTTTCCTTATGTTTTCGACAGGAAATCGAAGGTTAACTTATGGAAAAAAGGGGCCTCGTTCCTTATTTAGGGTTCCTTAGGTCAACGCCCCGACTGTAACGGGGGTCTGGGATCGAAGGCTCCCCGATGGCTTTTTTCCGCCAGAGCTCGGTCCTCGGTCGAGGTGGGTGTCGAGGAGGGGCCGAGGATCGGCGAGGGAGAGGCCTCGGGAACAAGAATAGCGAGCACTCATGCCACGTTACTCTGTGAGCGCCTCCCCCTCCCCCCCCCAACTTGGCATCGCTCGGACGTGTGCATTTTTCCTTCGGCGAGGACCATCGAGGAGCATCCTTGATCATTTGGCGAAAAAGCCACGCACGAAATCAAAAAAAGCACAGGGAATGGACGTCCGAGCGATGGCGAGCCAATGTTCAACGTTGGCGGTGGGCCTGATGAGTTGCACCTCGACCGCAGTCTCCCCCGCGCGTGCCAACCTTGAGTTTGGGGGGCAGAGGGGGTGTTCACTAATTGTTTCCCTCTGCCGGATCCAGGATCGGTGAGGATCGGGTCTGGCGCAGGCGGAGGCCCCTGGACGTCCAGCTGCGTGGCGGAGGGAGTCTCAGACGAGGAGACGGTACGCATAACGCTACCCTTGGCCCTCGTTTTCCCCTTTTGGGGCCTCCTGGGAGGCCCTTGTCGCCACGGCTGGATTCGCCTCGAAATCCTAGTCGGAACGCACCCCGAGAGAGGTCCAGGGAGCAGCGGAGGCGGAGGCCCCTGGACGCCCAGCTTCGTGGCGGAGGGGATCGAGGCGGTCAAGGTGCGTGTGTCCATCTCCATTGCAGCTTCTAGGTTCGAGCTCCCTTCCCCAGAAACCCGAGGGAAACTGGATACGGATAACAATTGGTCCACTAGGGGCTTGATTTTTATCCATATCCAGGGCGCCTCGGCCTTGTGGCGCTCCTTTCTAGAACGTCCAAGACGCACTGGATAAGTCTTACTCGCAATCGAGCCTCGAGGGGGATCGAGGAGGGATCGAGGATCGGGGAGGGATCCTGGATCGGGGAGGATCAGGGCTGGCGTAGGCGGAGGTCCCCAGACGCCCAGCTCGAGGACTCTTCGATTCCTTCCGCCACAAGACATCGATCCTCTATCGAGGTGGATCGAGGAGGGATCGGGGGATCACGCGAGGTTGTTTATTATCCTCTGGCGCGTGATGGTCGTTACCCGGGCCAAACCTCAGCATCCTTTATGACCGATCTTGATCCCCATCCCCATCCCGATTCCCACTGTCCCACCACATGCCCGTCGAGACCCGAAGGGAGCAGCCTATGTCCTCATCCAGGGGGGTTAATCGGCGCGGGGCCCAGGCCACGCCAGTGGGGATGGGGATCGTTGAACGATTCTCGGGGGGACTGTTCTTATCCTCTGGCGCGTAGCGGTCGCTACCCGGGCCAAGCCTCTTCCCCGCTCCCCGAGGATAACGGTAACGATCGTACGTGGGGGGGGCGGGCTGGACTCCCCCCCACATGCCGGTGGTCGCGCGCATGCTGTGGCCATCGCAGCGCTTCCCCGCCCTGATGTGCTCCAATCCGCCCAAGCGTTATCGTTACTCGCCCCCCCCCTCCTCCGGGCTGCTGGTGGAGGCAGAGGCCCCCGCGGACGCCACCCTCCCTTTGCCCTGGCGGGAAACATCCAGAA